GTTTATAGGGTTTCTTATATATAGGGAGAAAACGTCGTTCCTATGTGCCGACATTTAGCATAAATGTTAGGTCTCTATTATATAACTAAACCACCCCCCCTTCGTGCCTTAGGCGAAAGCTTTGCTCTATCTCCACTAAGCTTCCTTCCTTTAACATCGCCACGCATCCTAATATTATTGCCCTATTTCCTAATAACACGCTACAGCATTTGACTCCAGGATGTCGTCTTCACCTACGGCGTCTGCGCCAACCCTTCCGCCGTCCTCTCCATTATCCTCTGTGTCGCCCGACGACGATTCGAAGGATAAGCTAGCCGACGTGCCGCATTCCTCGGATGACGATTCGAAAGATGAACTAGTCGGCGTGCAGCCTTCCGAAGTCAAGTTTCTCGAGACTCTATCGACAAAGAGAAGCGAAAAAAACGGCAATAACCTTGTGATTACATTTAAAGTTGAAATCCGCGGAAAAACTTGTGTTATGAAAGTGGTAAGTAACACTCACTATACGCAGCACCTATTTACAGCACGCTAATATTTACTCAGTTTAAGGACGGTGAATACCAACCAGACTACTTTGAGATCGAAGCTAGCGCATATCGACTGCTTAAAGAAAAGGGCTTTTGCAAGCGTGGCCTTGTACCGAATTTCTACGGAACCATTGAGTACATCAATGTAGACCTCTGGCCAGACTTATACGAATTTCAACATCATAAACGGCCGCCTAGCGCTATTTTAATCGAATATATACCTAGTGCCAAAATGATTAGCCTCGATAACTTTTCACAAGATAATATCGATAGGCTGTCCGCATATCTCGCTGAGTTTCACGAGGCTGGCCTCTGTCACGGTGATCCATACCCGAGAAATATGATGGTTGTTCAGGGAATACCCGAGGATAGAGTTTTCTGGCTAGACTTTGATAATTCTTCGCGGGTGGAGGATCGAAAGACGTGTAATAAACGGCAGGAATGGGCATTCCAGGCTGAAACGCGGGCGATGGCAGCTTTTGCAAAAGTATTGGTACGTTTGCGACTTTCCGTCTGACCTAGAGGCTATCTAGGCTTTCACTAACAACTATGCTGCTAGGCAATGGATGCTAAGAGCGGTAAATTAGAGGAAGCGTGGTATCATTACCACTAAAATTTGCTTTATTAACTTACAAGGGCAGTCAAGAGCGAGGCGCAATTTCACACCGAGAACTAAGTAGAGCGTATATTAAGCACGAAAATAAAAGGTTATAAAACGAAGTCACAGTTTGTGGTAGCACAATAGACACCGCTTCCAGCCCGGTCTCATGTCTGGTAGTTCAAGTAGCAGATCAAGCGTAGTGCTAGATTTGTTGAGCCCGTACCATCCTCCCACCAAGGTCCACGCGTCATCTCGTGTCCCCCGCAATCTTCGAGACTGTTTCTTTCTCAGACAAGGGTTTGCTAGAGCCGTGGCGACCGAGCCGCGGGTGGTATGTGTCCTTGGTGCATAGTATAGCCAACAGGGCGGGCCGAGATGTCAGAGTGATGGTGGTCTACAAGGCTATAAAACTCGGCGGCGGCAGCCAAAAGCGCTGAAACGGAGTCCTACAAGGTGCTGTAGCATAGCAAAATGTCCACTACATGCCCCTCCTACAACGCTCTAGATTGCTCAAGACTGCCCTATACCTACGCGGGATGGAAGTGTTTTCTGACATGCCCTCCGGTAGATACCTATAGAGAAAATAAAAACATTTTTCTCCTGTTAACACATTTTCAGAAAACACCCCCCTCCCGCGGGTAGGTGCTGACGCACGCGCCTTGTGAACTAAGCTACTGTGCAGCTCGATAGCCACTGCAGAGCTCTAGGTCAGCCACGGCCAGCTACTCACTATCTCCAAATTTCCAATGCCTATCATCCGTTTGTCGTTTGTCTTCCTCACTATCATCCAAATGGTTAGCAAGCCATCTACTTAAACGCCTAGGCCCTGCCATTACAGAGAACAAACTACCAACATTAGCGAAGAAACCAAAAACCCATTCGGCCATCAGCCAAAGTAAATGTTACCCCGTTGCCGTTCGGGTAGTGCGCCACGTCCGCACCCGACAACATCGGATCAAGCACCGTAACCATCGTAACTGCGTGGAGATGTGCGCTAGGCTTTGCACATAGATGAAAGGAGAAGCCGGATTTAGCGCATGAGTCATTGGGAAATGCCACCGATGGGATACAGACAATACATATTTACCGGCATTCAACACTCAATATCTAAAAACGATTATTGTTGCAGAGGCGACTCCCTTCTTCTGTTCTAAAGCAAGTCCATTTGGTCTTCGAACTGGCTCATGCCTAAGAAAACTTGAGATCAAGGCGACACATTCAGCCGAAAAGCCGCAATGAACAACATACTATGCTGATCCTCGAGCTTATATAAATTAACCGCTTATCTATAGCATGTCATGCCACGGGAGTGTCAAGATGAGGTTGACCAAGCCAGCGCTCTACGTCTTGTCTTATATCGGCAGTTTAGTGAAGTGCTGGTGAGAGGAAATATGCACCTAAAGAGGCTACTCTGAAAGAGTGGTGTTGCCTGGTCTGAAGTTTCCCGACAGCATATGATTCAGAGCGGTAATATCGGTAGTATAGTCAGCCCCGCCCGGCTCCCCATGGAAATACTCTTGCGTATCCTCGAGTTCGCTATGACGAGCCCTCATCCCATCGTAGATCCTCTTTCACCACTCTGTTCGGAGAATCTATCTAGCCTCGAAGCTGGAAGGCGGAACCAGATTGCGTTCCACTTTCTTGCGACATGCCGCGTCATGCACGAGGAAGGCACAGCATACATGTGGCAACGGAATGAGTTCGTTTTTACATCACCACAAACTCTACAGAAGTTTGGACATCTAGGGATGCGTTACCGCTTACCTATCAAGCACATCAAATTGTGCATTGTTGCTCGATACTATGACGATACGGAGCGTCAACACACTCTAGAGGGTGAATATCACCCCGACCTGAAGCAGAACCAGCCTCTCAAAGTATGCAGGCGCCCGCCCTCGTCTCCGTTAGTGCGCGTTGGGTTTCGATGCTACACGTGGTTACAGATTGTTGATTTTCTCGCGGCCTTACGGGCACCGCTCAATCGGACGCACCTAGACGAGAAAATGTATCAATCTCTGCTGCTTCCGAACTTGACATCGCTAAGATTGGATTTGGTCAACTCTTCCACCGAACTTATACCACTCTCTGGCCCAGAGCTTCATGACATGGCTTCGCATCAGCTTGGGTGCCAGCTGAATGAGCTGCATGTGACCGGGTTGCCGTTTGATGACAGCGGAGATAAGGCATACGTCGAACTGAGCGGATTGTTGAAAGACGAGGGTTTGTATTCATGTGGAAGCGCCGCATTTTTGGCTCGCGAGGAACATCTACAAGCCCTTACTGGGTCTAGATGGACCGCAAGAGTTGTTCGAGCGTGGACTGGCACGGAAAGTGATATGGATTCTTTCGATTACGACTTTGACAGCTCTTTCAGCGGAGTCCTTCACCCGCTCATGGGTGTCTTTCCGCCAGTACCGGCGGAGCACAATTGCCCAGTCTCCATCTGTATAGCGGGAACTACTCTCTGGAAACGGGCGCCGGTAGCACGAGACAGTGACGAGAGACGGTGGACAGAGTTCTCGGGAGCAGGTGGTTATCCTCTGCCGACACTCTTCTTGCATTACTAATGAAGGAATGGGGAGGTATATTTCTGGTGCTTGGCTCCCAGGGGCATATCTAGAACAGAACGCAGGCCAATGCAATCTTTGCACGGCAGCTTTTTAGTCAGTGCACTTAGGCAGCCTTTGACTGTGCGAGTTTGCCCGCACCGGATATATTTTGCTCATGCTTTGCCCGCTGAAAGCTTGGAACGGTCTTGTTTTACTTCCTCCGTAATCGTATTTATATTCAGTGCTTAAAGTAAATGGGCAGTGTCGCTTATACTCTAGGCATTGCCAAATGGATTCATCGAACCCTCTAATTGTATTACACAGCTATTGGCTCAGTTTGGCAAGTGATCGACTAATGTAAAATGCGTATAGTCTTGCATCAACTGGAAGTACTCAACAATATTTATCCACGGCATCAGAGCCACAGCGGAATGCACAAGGTTATATTGCGAGAGCAAAAATGCTTCCGAAGACATCTATTCTCGTTGAGTATAAAGGCCGGCTGTGACCGCATGATAACCTCTTTTACCAACTTTATGTACAAGGTCGCTCCTCCAATGGAGTTCTTGTCCAATTAGCTCAACCGCTGTAGTAAAGGTGTATTTTGGTTGCCACCTAAGCTCCTTAATAGCTAACTTTCCTCGAATCGTACACTCTGTCTAGACGATGCAAATACTTCCAATTTTTCTGTTTGAACACATTCTCAGCTGCAGGACAAACGCGCTGCAGTACTGCCTGTAGATCTTTGTCTAAGCCGCTCAATGATTCCTCGTCACAGGAAAATAGAGGCGGCGCACTTATGATGTACTTTCCTCATCCGATGCTTCTCGCCCTCTTCATGGCGCAAACACACGCGGCCCCGCGTCTGCGATATCCACCCGCCGATATACCAACTCCAGCAGCTTGAGGTTGTCATCTTCCATAGCTGCGCGGCGATCCTCGTCATCGTCTCTCTCAGGGTAGAAACGACTCATCTTCAGAACCACGATAGGAAGATGTGTCTACTTTTGCATCAGAAAACATAAGTCTTCTACAACAACCTTTGTCACGCCATATATATTTTTAGGCTGAGGTACCACAGACTCGTCAATCCATGCCGTAGGGGCGCCGGGCGCCGGGCTCAATGCCTCTCCAAAACTGCTAGTCGTGCTAATGAACACGAAACTGTCAATCTGAGACGCCAACTTCAGGGCTGCTTCGAGAAGATTAAGTGTCCTAGAAACGTTGGTATCGACGAACTCTTGTATATATCTCTATAAGTTACTACTAGGTAGAATATATTATATTATAAACTAATTATATCGAATACGAGAGCTTGATAAATGAAGTATAGTCTTACCATTATATAAGATAAGCTATAATACTTGGTATAAATTACTAAGTACTTAACGTCCTAACTGCTGTCCGTTGGGATTAAAGACTATGTCCACGCTGTAAGTAGTTACATTATCCTACTTAGTCTCTTGATTCACGTGCTGCTTTGAAAACTTGAACTCCCCCTCCAGCTGTCGGTAGTGAATGTTCA